ACCCGTCAGGTCTCACACAATGTTTACTTTACATATTTCATTGTTTGGCTGTGTCAGATAGTCCTTTCCAGCACAGGCTGAAAGCACACAAAGGTCCTCACTGCCTTGACAAGACGTGCCTAATCTCTGAACATCCTGGTGCCATCAGTAATGTACCCTGGGCTATGCCAGCTCTCTGCTGTGAAGGGACACAAATGTTTTTCATTTCTTACTGAAATACCTCCACAGACTCCTGGACTGATATAAAGAGAGACAGAATACTTAAATGGCATATACATTTAGCATATAGAAAGACCAACTAGTTTGACCAAAAAAAATAAATACAGCTAATGACAGTTTTTATTCATGTACTGCTTTTCTGCCTGCTCTATTACCACATTAGAAGCCTAAATTTGCAATTGAAAACAGCTGCTATTTGGCTTACTCACTCTCTAGTTCTTGGACCAGAGTAAGCAGTATGTCCTACCAGGATCTCAATAGTCTGAAAAACATATCAGTTTCCATGAACTCTGAGACCAAGAGGTTTCTGCTGAGATTTTTCCCTGAGAAAGTATAGCAGAACTGCTTGACAATGCTCAGAAACACCTGCCTCCTACTAAGTAGGTATTTTCTTGAGTTCAGTTTATTTTGCCTTGGAAGGAAAAAAAAAAAAAAGTGATCATTAGATCTAAACTCAAATACATTAATTCACCTAGAAGCATGATCCAGCTAATATTAGTCACAAACCTTAATGCTGGGCAAAGTGACTCACATTAATCCCATCAAGAATGTGGTGCTGGTACAGTTTGCATCAGCAGAAAAGCACATCTGTCTGTGGTAATGAGATTTATTGTGCAGGGAAAGTCCAGGAGTGTCTAAAACCAATTTAGCATTAAAACCTCAACTACTTTGGGTCGTTATGGAATTGACAAAGGTGTAAGGACAGATTTTCCTTCCACCACTCACCTGGCTGTGTTGTTTGCTGCTGGACTACATACTGAGACTGCCCATGAAGCATCTCAGCAGAGCTCTGGGGAAGTGACAGTAAGCTGAAAGGCATGGATCCTTTCTGGATAACCAAAATCAGCTAGGAATGAAAAAGCAAAACTGCTAATGCCCAAACGCAAGCTGCGAGCACCTTCCTTGTTTGGAGACAGGCACAGATTGCTTTTCTTCAAGTTATGATTTCCAGCATTCAGTAAGCTCAGATGCACTGTGTTATACTGGGAAGGTATGTCTTATATTGCTTTTGCAGTCATAATATATCCTTACTGCTTTGAAATGAGGTTTGCAAAACCCAAAAAGGCAGCTGTATTTCTAAACACAGAGCAACATTTACATTACAAGCAAGGATGTCAAAACAGGCAACAAAGCAGAAAGGGGAGTTGGAAACAGCAAATACATAGAAAATTTAGATACACAGAAGTTTATCCTAATGTTTACTCATATTCCAATGCTTCAAGAAGACTGAACACTTTGACATAAGCTGAAGAGCCTTTGCCAGCCAGACTGTTTGATGTTGTGTTGGCTCTGTGACAAAGCCAGGCTGTACAGGAACGCTGGCATTGTTTTCTGATCAAAGTGAGCCCTAATGGTATTAAACCTGAGTTGTGGTCTGACGTGCTCTCTTCCCTCAGCCATCAATTCTCTACTCTGCTACCAGCTTCTTCTTGAGCTGTTGCATTATGATATTCTGCTGTTTTAAAGCATGCTCAAACTTTTATTTCAGCTAATAAGAATGGATATTCCCATATTTTCTGCCATGCTGGCATGGAGACAGGAGATTGTGCATACACAGAAAAGGCTGCTTGTGATGGTGATACTCAGTTTCTGTTGACTCCAGGGGTATTGCAAGGGGAAAAGGAAGCAGGAGAGTTTTAACAATTTTTGGATTAAACACTTGTGTAGTGTAATAGTTAAATGTCTTTAAAACTAATCATGTGCTTATGTTATTTTTACAAAAGGCAGATGTAGAGCACTATAGCAGGATGTGAGTGGGTTACCCCTGTAACCCATGCACCACCCTCACAGGATGAGATGCTGCCCATTTGTGTAGCTCTCTCACTTTATACTTGACTTTGCCTTCACAGATAGTAAAAGGGTCTTATAATTTCGAATAAAAGGGAACTGATTTGCTATTACAAAATCAAACATCAGATGCTCAGAAAATACAGCTCTACTCATGGCAACTGAAGCACAAGAGATTACAATGACTTCATAATTCAGGTCTCAGTTTGCTAGTGCTAGTTTCTCTGCTCAAATGTGACACAGCTCATCTAAGAGGACTTTACACAGAACTTACAGGTAGAGTTAATGGTTTCTGCATTGTTATGTTGCTTCACAAGGTCATATTGTCCACTGCAATCACCGTTGCTGCTGCAACTCAAATTTCTCTTTTGTTGACTGTGATTGCACTTCTATATGATGCCAACCAGAGTGAGCATAGGGAAATGTGAGAGTCAGTGATGCTACAGGCTGGATATGAGCTCCTGTAGTCACATTTATCACCTGACTTTAAACCATTTAGTGTGGTCTGTCTCCTTGAAAGCAAGGAAGCCGAGCAGACTCTTGCAGTTTTTGAGCAGCTGTCATTGGTTTAAAATGACTTAGGCTTAGTAGATATTCCATCTTCACTTTATAGCACAATTGCCTGACTTAAATAGGTGAAGACATACCCCTACCAAAGCTGTAACAGGCACCAGGGATGGATGAGAAGACTTAGTAGAAAACAACTTTTAGATCTTCTACAGAAGAACTCAAGCTGAATTTATTATGAAGTTCTTAAATGTCCAAACACATTTTATTGCCTTCTGGTTTCCAGATGGGTGTGCATCCAGAACACCAGAATACCACAAATATGCTACTTTTTTTTCCCAGCTGCAATCAGAAGCAGCTGTAACAGAGGGCTATAGAAAAGTCTGATTCTTAGAGTATGCCTGTCCCTCTTTTTCAAAAAAAGAGAAGTTTAGATAACTTGAGTAAACTCTGTAGGGGCATCCAAACATTTAGGATTGCATTAGGACACACATTTCCAACTCTTGGAAGCATATCCTTCACTAGCTCCTTGCTCCTGATGCAGGAAGTGGAATACTCCAGTGGGTAAAATTCAGGGGACAGGACTCTCATTTAGCCCAGCTCTAATAAAAAAGGGTGGCTCTGTCAGTATCACTGGAATTCTCTACTGCTCAGTTTTCCCATTGCTCCAGGGAATCACACTACTAAAGCAATTTGTTGGATTGTCAAGTTAGCACCCCTAGTTCTTTTTTTTTAATTAACTGCATCCATTTGCAGTGATGAATTTACTATTTTTGGAGACAAATTTTATTCCGCATCCCCCTGAATTCTATTCAAAATCCAGAAACTGATCAGCATTTTAGGGTTTAATCAGCAAGGTGTCAAAGAGGCCCTAGGACCAGCTGACTCTGAAAGCTGAAGGCGCACAACCATCTCGGGAGCTGTACAGCACCTTGCAAGATGAAGAACACAAAGGCTTTATTTGGTATTTGCACATCCATTGTAAACCTATCATCTGTCTTTCCAACCTGGCTTTACTGTCCTTTTACTCAGCAGACTTACAGAGCTATCTGCACACTCCCTGTACAAAACAGTTGCCCATTTTAAGGAAGTGACCCCTATGGAAATCTGCATGAACTTCATGGTGAAGGGCAGGAAAATGAAGCTGCTTTGAAAGTTTTAATTTTTATCTGGCTTTATGGAAAATTTTAAATTAGGACAAGGTATATATATTTATAATTATAATTTAGCCAAATAATAAAATCATTAATATTAGTTCCCAGTATCTAGAAAGAACAAATAACATCTAAATAAACAAATCTAAGTAAGTGAAGGCAAATACTAACTCATGGGCTTATATGGAAGTTGGCTGAAACCTGCAGCAATTCTGACTCATAATAAAAATGATTTATTTAAAGACTTATTATGAACATTGCAGGAAAGGTGATAACAGACATGTACCACTTTGTTTACAGTAAAATTTCCTGTAAATTAAAGAGTTCTTATTCTTTGTTTGGTTTTGATTTGGTATTGTACCAAGTATCTGTTTATAAAAGGAAATATGACGGTACAAAGTGTACAAAATGAATTGCAGAAGAGATTAACAGTCAAGGTGAATTTGCTTCAAATTAAGCCCTAGCAAAACAGACAGTGTAGATCCCATTATTATCCTATATAGGTAAAGAAAGTCAGTTCAAACAGATCATTCATGCACCTTTTTTGAGAGCTGAACTACCCGAAATTCAGGATAGAAAGTTACTCTCCAAAAAGATTTTAAAAAAAGATTCAGGTGACTATGAGATATGGCAGGGAAAAAAATGTTGCAGAGCACAACAAAGGAAAAGTTTGATATAAAGTAGGCACTGTGTTCCAAGGGATTAACTATTGAGGATTTTCCCCTTTTTGAGAAGTTTTTTGTTTATAACACTCCCTAAACAGCTTATTAAGGAATCTTTCTGAAGTCCTATTTATATGACAAAGTATGTCTCAACCTCAAATCATCCCATCCCAGGGAATCTTCTGTGGGAACTACTGGATGAAGATAATGTAGTCACAGTTGGAAAAGAATAATGAAATAACACTTTATATATTTTATCAGGAAACTAGAAGAGAACCTGTTTTTCAGAAACAACTCCTTGGGTTGAATTAACCAGCCTGGACCCAGCCTGGTATCTCTAGAGATCAGACTTCATGGATCTCCAAGGTCTCCACCCGGGGAAAGAAAATATTTGTGGATAGAAGAACTGGATCTGGGTCATGTTAATTCTCCTCCTACAAATAACCAAGGTTGACATGGAGGATAAAATTGCGAAATCAGTGACATTATCTGAAGGCCAGGAGTTACCTGTGATCGTGGGGTTTACTCCAAAACATCCTACGATCTATTGTTTGATATTTAGACCTAAAAAAGTAATGCTGGATTTTAAACTCGTGTAGTTAATCAAACCAGTTTGCAGCCAATCCTGTGCATACAAGTTCAGTGGTTTAGAAGGTATGTTGGCACTCACCCGGGGGCATGTGCTCATTCATGATGACGAGTGATGCTGGGGTAGGCCTTCTTTTCCTGATCTGTAACAGATACAAACCAAGAAGAGTCATTAGGGCCCATCAATTGCCACACACACAAAGCAAAGCAAAGCAAAAAATCTGTCTGGTGTCCTCCAGAGTATAAGTGAAAAAGGAAACTATTTCAAGAACAGCAGCACTTCACTGTCTTACTGACAGCTTGTCTGGTCTGACAGCAATCAGGGTCATGCTGCTGCTTGTTTAGAGAGAACAAAGGCATGGGGAGAGCTGTCCAAAATACCTTTAGGATTTGTAATCATCTTGACTTCAGTTTTTTGGATATGTATTGCTGAAAAATATCAGTCATATCTTAACATATTGACATTTAGCTTTGCATCAGGAAGATGATTTCACAGTTTCTGAGCTTGTATGTGCAAATATGTAGTACTGCCATAGCTCTCTCAAGTAATAATTAATAATAATTTGCAAGTGCATTTCAGAGTTTTGCAGGTATGCCTTCCAATGAACTCATGTTCCAAAACTGTTGCCAGAGGTGTTACTGCAGTAACAGTTCTTTAACTAAAAATACTGCAGTATTTAAGACCTTAAAAAGAGTATTTCCAATATAGCAGATTTTACATACCAATACATAGTCCTGAATTGTTTGTAAACTCTGATTTCTTGAGTTTATCTGGGTAACTACTTTTGTTCCATTAACAGTGCCTGAACTACATGCTATTGGAATACCTTCTTATAATGCACACATTTGCACTGAAAGCTTTGTGTTGCTTCACAAAAGCCTCCAGGCCTGATATTCTATTGAATTTAAGACAGGGACCAGGAGCATTTAAGCTAGAAACCATTCTGACACAAAACCTCAATGTCAGTGCATTTGTTCTTTTTTATTTGCTGAGCCAACATCTGTATTTAGCTAGGTTCAAATTTTGCTTTCAGAGGTGTAAATGGAAAGTTACATCATCAGGGTTAATGGGTTTATTCTAGATTAGTGTAACTGTAGCTGACTGTAGAATTTACTATTTTAATTTCATCACACACCCACAGTGAAATTGTATAGCACTTGGAATCAAACTCACAAAAAAAAAAAAAAAGGACTGCTCATAAATACCAGGCAGAAAATAGGCTACAGCATTTCAACAGCCATGGGAATTCCAGGAAATCCTAATCCTATGGTTCTCACTGATTTCAGAAAGATGCCAAAACACATTCTGCTTGAATTCATTGCAGAACTGTTCTGTAAGGGATGGACATCTCATAGTTCAGGAGTGCCTACGGACAAATGAGGACCCACAACAATTCTTTTCTGCACCCTTCTAATGTTTTGCTTTCAATGGTCACTCCCAACTCATCGTTTCCTGGAAAAGGTCTCTGCCTTTTAAGAGAAAACATCAGGATATTCAGGAAACCAGACGACTGTCTTAAAGGTGCAAAGAATTTCATGGCTGCTGGTATGGAACTTTCAAGGTTATTATATTCCCCAGGTGTCATCTAAAATCAGACGTACCCAAATAGAAGCAAATGTTGAGGACAACTTGCACAGAGAGAAATATACTGGGTCACCTAATTAAGATTTACACAGTTTTCTCACAAGAGTGCCTGTGACCTTTTATTAGGCACATCTGCACGTAGTAGATGTGCCTAATAAAAGGTACACAGTAATAGATACATTTTCCTCCTTAGATGTCAGTACTGAGATATATATATATACATATATATCAGTACAGTGTATACGTATATATTATTATGTCTATCTTTTGGGAGTGAGTTAAAACCTAAAATAGCACACACATTATTCCAAGAAGGACATAAGTACAGCATATTTCCACATGTATATATTTTTCAGGCATGTAAAATACCGTAAAAATGACTTAAAAACTGTAAAAAATCATGAGAAATACAGGAAGTAACTGAAATGATGACTATTGTGCAAAACATTAGTTGTATTTTCTCTTGTTAAAATGCAAGGTAAATAAGATGTCTTCTTCCAAATATTTCTCTTATTTACCTATTATGAACTTTATGCTTTGTTTTATGTACATATAATGCACGTGAATGGATTTGTTGAGAATATATTCATTGAGTGCATTTATGTGAAATGCAAGTATTAGGGTAGAAGTGCAGTTACAGAAAAGGCACAAAAAATATACATTAATAAACCTACCCGAGGTGAAGAAGCCTTATTCTGGCTAGATGACATAGCCTTCTCCCTCTTTAAGTATATCAAACATCACTATAACCTCCAGAGTATTTAATCTACAGTTTCACCAACATAAGCTAGAAAAGCCTTTAGGCCACACATATCCCTTGTGCTCACCCACATCCTGCCCCATTCCCTCCCCATTCCCTCGAAACAGTGAAGGAAACTCATCCTCCTTACCTGCTCAGCTGCCTCGGGATCTATTTGGCTCTGAAATAGGGGCACAGCAAACTGTATTTTTTTGGGGCTGTTGGGCTCCATGGTGATGCTGAGGTGAGCCAGACGAGAGAAGAGCTGGAGCCTGGTGTGTGCCTGTGCCCCGGCGCCGTCCCCACGGCCCGGCTGGAGCTCCGCAGGAACAGCTGTAACTCCCGACTTAGCCCGGGAATCTGCGCCAGCCGAGCGACTCCCTTGTTCCACATCCACAGAGATGCCACTGGCTTGGCTGTTTTCTTTTTTTTTTTCCCCTCTCCCCTCTCTTCAGCAGCCCTTCAGATCCTCTCAGCAGAAAGCTGAAAGGAACAATAAGCTAATTGTGTACCAGCTCACTTCCACATATGCCAAGCATTCACTCAGAAGCTAATTGAAAATGCAATACTAGCATTGCATGGCCTGGAGCCTTGGGATTTGAAAAAGAGGATCTCTCCACCGTATATTACTAACTGGCTGCTCAGAAGTGCAATGCAAGCTCCCTCTGAGTATTGCTGATGGGCTCTTAATTATTGATGAACACAAATCAGGAAGTTTTCAGATTTTGGGGGTGGAGGTAGCAGAAGGGGTGGATTCAAAAATTCGATCTCTGTTGCAGTGTGCCAGAACCGCTCTCCTCTTTTCACATATCAATTCCCTTTGCTCTTTCAAATATTTTTTTAATCCTACAGTTTTAGACTTTACTAAATCTCACAGGAAGATTTTTGGTGATGATGCTATGGAGTTGCCCACAATTACATGACACTTCTCTGGTGGGTTTGCACCTTAAGCCTGGTTGTCAACTGTGATTTCTTTCGGTGGGCTCCGTTTCACGTGACTCCAGATTTGAGAACACTCACATTTGAGCCAGCTCTCTGGGCTCCCTCATGCTAAGCACATCAACAGGCATCTCATCCTATCCAAGCAAACTGGGATATAGTGTTTACTCAAGATTACATTTTCTCTCCATTAACTCTAGAAAAAGGAAAGATGATTCAGAGTAGTTAAATGACTTTTGGATGACTAAAATTCAGAGACTAAATCCTACTCAAGGGTACAAAATCTGTGCCTCATTCCAAGACCAGGAAAATCATTTCGTCAATCATATCAATATTACTCCTTTGTGAATGTAATTGATTTTCACTTGTCATTTTACATTAATTCAAAAGAAGCGTGTGAAATGACATCCAGCAATCACTGATCTAACCTACCTCTTTGCAAAACTCAGAGGAATTTGAAAATGTTCTTTGTTCAGGCCACTGAGAGCACTGAGGATTTTCACAGTTCACCACAGGCTGATTGAGTCACTGAGTACTTTCCCACCTGTGCCAGTGGAGGAGGCAGGGAAGGAGCGGGGATTGTGGGTGAGAACTGGCCAGACACAGAACCAACCAGCAAGGCAGATATGAAATACTTGTTTGGCTTTGATTTTACAAATTAAAAGCATGGCACATTATCGGAACACCAGGATGTTTCTGAACAGAGGCAGGCAAGCACACAGGCTAGCTGGTTTGGGAAGGACCTAATAAAGCTTAGGAGGTGAGGATACACTTTAGGTTAAGGATCCAGTTGGCTCAATGATCAAAAATAACTCTCAACGAGGGCCAAAATTCCCCTCCTCATCCAAATCAAAGCTACTGTGAACCATAGTGGTTTCCAGCTGACAGCTAGTAGCTGGCAACTTTCCTGTGCAATTTCTTATGATAGTTTAGGTGGCATTAACTTAGACTTTTGAATCACAGAAGAGTCTGATTGGTCAGGACCTTCTGGAGATACTTGATCCACCACGCCTGCTCAAAGCAGGGTGTGAGACCAGGTTATTCTGGGACCTCTCAGTCTGAATCCTGAATGTTTTTGGTGCTTAAGTGAAATGCTTAGCTTCACTTACCACAACAAATGAAAGAGAGTCACAAAACACTGATATTCAGTGTTTCATATGACCTTTTTTAAGCCTTCACTATTCCTACAAAGACAAAACATAATTTGTTTTACAGACTTCCACAGTTAGAGCAAGAGTGCAATTGTAAAAGTTGTGGTGGCACAATGAAGCCTTAGGCACTAAAGTAAGAGAGGCTCACTCTGCTTTCACCAGGACAACTGGAGAGTTGTTTTCAGGACAGTCTCATTATCCAGTTTCACAAGTCCTTCATGCACAGATGTGCCATTATCTTCAACTATAGCTTCAGGCATACCGGGGTATATATACACACCACTTACACAGGGTTACAGGGAGGACATAAGCAGGGATCTGAAGTTGTGGCTTTCCTCTTGAACTTTGATACTTGAAGGAAAATAATGTTTGTTTTTGCTGTGAGATACTGTGAAAAAAATGTTTTCCAGCTGCATTGCTACTATAAATATTAATAAATTGCATATTTTAAATATCAAGTTTCTCTAGACAATATCTGTTTTCCATAAAATATCTATTCTTGATGTCTACGAAACAATGTATTAAATTATACAATTGTAATTCTAATGTGTTTTACTGATCACAGGAGCTATAACTGTCACTGCAAAGGCTTAACATTTCTTATATTAATGATAAAGTAATTTTTAAAACTATATTCAGACAGTAGAAATTTATTAAAGTGTTAAGTGCTCAAAGGATTATAACAGTGTGTTTCAGCTCTAGATTGCTGGACATTGCTGCCCAAAGGAATTGTGTCGCAAATGCATTTTTATTAATGGTATATAAGAAAAAAGCTCAACAACCTTACAAAAATCCCAAACCAACAAAACCACTTTTTGGCATCTTCTGAAGGGACACAGACAACAAGACAGACCAAAACACAAGGACTAATCCTTAATGGGGCTGGCTAGGATTGGGAGAGAGGCTCCTAAACAACCTGATGAGGAGGAATTTGCTTCCTGCAGCTTTTCTCCCTGTGCCTACTTGGAGCTGGCAGCCCAACAATCTTCACATGCACTAATACAATAACAGTATTTTTAAAACAGTGTAAGAGGCATAGTGAGAGAGCACTCAGATATAGCATTTCAGGATGCCTACCTTGGCTCCCTCTTACACCAATTTGCAGCATTAGAAGCCTGCAGGCAAAGTGTGCTGGCATTTTCTATAGACTGCATCATAGTCTGGGGAGAGCTGAAACACATTTATGACACATCCTTGTAGTTCATCTTCTGTTTTTAGTGCACTCCCCACAATTTCAGTTTCAGATGCCTTCATGATTCAGCTAAAACTATAATGGAATTAAAAATAATAGGAACTGTCCAAGATCTTTCCTTCCTATGTCATTCACTAAGTTCTGGTATGAAGCACTGCCTTTTAGAATATCCGGCTGTAGGGATGAGCTGTGGAAGCACTTGTGGCATAGCTCCTGCTTGAGCTACTTCCCTAGTGTCTTAGGAAATGTTTATATCTTGTTTCCAGCCAAAGACAAGACTTCTGGGATGGCAATTCAAGGGTCTTGGTTCTGCACTCTCTTTGCACAATTTTTGTTGGGGCTCTGATCTGCCTCAGCTCCTCTGGTGTGGTCAGAGACTACTGCAGCATCACTCTGGAGAGGAGAGCTGGTGTTCCTTGTAAAACAAACCTGCTTAAGGATTTGGCTCCTAAATTCACCAGTGCAGATGCAGAGAAGCACCAAGTTACAGAACCCTGATCCAACAGGGGGCCTTTGCAGAGCAAGGGCTCAGCTTGGATGTGGCAATTCTCCTAGACACAACTTTAATCCCCATTGTAGCCACTGATGTGTGAGTGGTTTAACAAAGATATGTTGACCTGTGCTTCCCCTGGGCTCTCCAGCTGCCCTCTCCTCACAGCACCATGTCCTCAGCATGGTGCTGGGCAGCCCAGCAGCATCAGAGGGAGAAACACTGCAGAGCACTCTGGCTTTCTGCTACAGCCAAAAGGGCTTCAACGTGCCACTTCCTTCTGCCTTTTTCTAAAAAACTGATGAACACTTCTTCCCTGCCTCTGCCCAGGCAGGGGCACCAGTTTGCCCTTTGGGGCTCTGCACTGTGCCCCACTCATGGGTGCTAAAATCAGACAGAAGCCTTCCAAGAATAAAAAATTGCATATTCAAAATGACACTGAAATTTTCCTTTCCAAACAGCATTGCAAACAGGGTGACTCCCACTGAGCTGCTGGAAACACAGTCTGCTATTTATATATAGAAAATGCAAAGAATTTAAAATTTGCCAGGGCGGTAGAATGCAGAGCAGATCTCATCCGCCTCATGAGTACCAAGTGCTGCCACAGGCAGGTCAAGAAGAAGAACAGAAAGTCTTTCTGAGCAGTGACAGAGTCAGTGGGACATTCAGTGAGAGTTGTTGGCCTGGTTACAGTCTAACCCAAATTTCCATTGCCAGTTCTTATCCATAGAATATCAGGTTTGGACTTGTTTATGTACTAACTATATATGTGGATACATAAAGCCTAGATAAGTAAAAAGATACAGCTATTTCTATTTACACAAGCTTTTTAGTTTAGATAATAAATAATTCCTCAGCAGTATGGTTTTAATCAGAATCAGTTTAAAGTTAGTTTATCTGACCACAGAACTTACACTGCCTATTCCAGTCTTCCTCTGATATTCACAGCTCTCCACACTTCAATGTAATGTACAAACATTTACTGCTAGATCCTATCCACTACCATCAATAGAATACACACATCCAAAACATAGGAAATGAGCTGGATTAAAGGGATGTGACCTGAGTACACAGTCAAAGGGTTCTTGCCTAATACGGTTCAATAGTGCAGAAAGCAAAACTCTGGAACTCATTTTAGGAGGGTATTTTGGCAGGAAAAGATGCTACAATTTGCTTCCTTACAAAGAACAGAGTAAATCTAATACATCTTTCAATAAACAGAAATGTGTAGTGTACACAGGTTTGAGAATAAAATTATATTATTTCCATATTAAATCTTTAATGCAAAAGTTGACTGACTATATCACTGAATTAAACAACTGAAATATAAAATTTAGTTGTTACTGTATTTTTTAAAACAAGAATTAAAATAAAGGACACATAGAAGATAAACCAAGGAATGAATTTCCACAGTTTGAGTCTGAGTTAGAAAACTCCTGTGCAAACACACATTCCCAGGCAGAAAATGAAAAGTCACCAAGTACCCACAAAAGCTCAGTATGCCAATTTCAGAACATGTTCTTAAAATTCTCATTTTGAATTTGAGACTCTTCAGATGTCCCTTTTTTCTTGCCTCCTCCTCCTCCCCCTCTGAGAACGTGCTAGACCAAAAGGTATCACAACAATCCTCAAGGTCCTGCCTGCAGCATCTACAAGGGAGGGACTGAGACACACCAGGCATGCCTGGAGGACTGGCTTTTGTGACCTGGGCAAGGTCGCTGAGGCACAATTATTTGCTATTTTCTATAGAGGTGTTGGGAGCAGCAGGAATGGGACTGCTTTATGAGTACCGACAAGCCAGGAGCCAAGGCTAAGTGAGCTATCTGGTATGAAAATATCACAATGCCTGAGCAAGACCTACCTTTCCTAGATTGAATTTAAGTTAATCTGATCCATAACCTTCTCTGGCACTGAGGTCAGGCTGACAGGCCTCTCCTTCCCAGGATTCTCCTTCCAACACTTCTTGCAGTGGGTGTCACACTCGGCAGTCTCCAGCTGGTACTTTTCTGGTTAACCAGAACTGATGACAAATGATGGAGAGTGGCTTGGCAAGCTCTTCTGCCAGTTCCCTCAGTACTCTTGAGTGAATCCCACCTGGCCCCACAGACTTGTGAGGGTTTACATGGCACAACAGGTCACTAAATACTTCCTCCTGTATTGCATGGGGCTTGTTCTGCTCCCTGTGCCTGTCTAGCAGCTCAGGGGGCTGATTGCCTAGAGGATAAGTGCTCTGTCTGTTAAAGACTGAGGGAAAGGAGGCATTAAGTACCTCAGCCTTTTCTTCATCCTTGGTGGCAATTTTACCCCCCATGTCCAATAAATGATGGAACTTTTCCTCATCCTGCCTCTTGTTGTTAATGTACTTACTTTTTAGTATCTTTCACAGCAGTGGCCAGATTGAGTTCTAGCTGAGCTTTTGCCTTGTATTTTTTTTCTACATGATCTAATGACACCCTTGTGCTCTTCCTGAGTTGCCTGCTCCTTATTTCAGCCTCTTTTGTCCTGAGTTCCAGTAAAAGCTCCCTGTTCAGCCAGACCAGTCTTCTTCCCCACCAGCTCTTCTTCCAGCACAAGGGACGGCCTGCTCCTGTATCTTTGAGTTTCCTTCCTAAAGTATATCCAGCATTGCTGGACCCCTTAGTTATTAAGGACTGATTCCCACTGACACTCTCTGAACCAGTGTCCTGAGCAGGCCAAAATCTTCCCTCTACAAGTTCAAGGTCGAGGTTTTGTTGATCCCTCTCCTTACTTCATCAAGAATCAGAAACTATCATTTCGTGGTTCTGTGGTTGAAGGCTGTCTTGAGCACAGCATCTCCCACCAGCCCTTCTTTGTTTGTGAACAGATCTAGTGGGGCACCACCCCTTGTAGCCTTACTTACCAGTTGTGTCAGGAAGTTCTCTTCTGCACACTCCAGGACTACCCCCTCTCCTCTGCTGGAATTTCCAGGAGATATCTGGCAAGATAAAGCCTCCCACAAGAACACAGGCCAACAATCGTGAAATATCAGCCAGGCACTTATCACACAGTTCATCTGCTGCCTCGTCCTGGTTGGATGGTCTGTAACAGACTCCCACCAGGATTTTTGCCTTGCTCTCCTTCCCCCCTGATTCTCACCCACAGGCACTCAACCTTATGATCACTATCCTTGGCTCTGCACAGAACAAACACCTCCTAATGTACAGAGCCACCCTGCTGCCTCTGCTTCCTGGGTCATCTCTCCTGAAGGGCTTACAACCATCATTGCAGCACTCCAGCCATACAAGTCATCCCAGCACATTTCTGTGAGGAACACTATGTCCATGCTGAACAATGGCTCCCAGTTCCCCCTGTTTGTTACTGACACTGTTTGCATTGGTGTGGAAGCACATCAGCTGAGCTATCGATTCCACCCCAGCACTG